AGAGTGAAATTAAATAAATGCAAGAGCCAGTTCCTTGTACAAAAGAAAAGCTAAATAAAAATAAACCACTACCCATATAATCATGCGGAAAAAGGATAAAAGGACAAATACACTGGATACAGAACCATATTGGGAATATAATTATAGAAACCAAGAAAAAAACGACAAGACCCAAACAAGAGATTATGCAATTATAAGCAAATACATTTGAAAAACTGGATGAAATGGAGTTGCTTTCTTTTTTCTGAAAGAATACAAATGATCAAAATGACCTCAAAAAGGATCCAGCAATCCCACTTCTGGGTATATATCAGAAGGAAATAGAATCTGTATAGAAGAGATGGCTTTACTCCTATGTCATTGGATTCTCATTCACAATAGCCAAGATATGGAAACAACCAAAGTGCTTGCCAGTGAATGAATGAATAAAATGTGGGATATGTGTATACATACAAGGGAAATTCCTTAGCCATGACAAAGAAGAAAATCCTGCCATTTGCAACAACATGGATGAGCCTGGAGGAAATTACGCTAGTGAAATAAGCCAGAGAGAAAAAGACAAATACTTTGTGCTCACTTATCTGTGAAATCTAAAAACACAGCCAAACTCAGAGGAACAGAGAGTAGCATGTGGTTACCAGGGGTTGGGGAGTGGAAGAAATGGAGAGATACGGGTCTAAGGATACAAACTTTCATTTATAAGATGAACGATTTCTGGGAATCGGAACTGGCATAGTGCTCTATTGTATACGTGATGCAAAGAAAGTGAACCTTAAGCCTTCTCACCACACACACACACACACACACACACAGTAACTATGTGAGGTGACAGATGTGGTACTCAACTTGGTGGTAATCATTTCACAATACACATGGATATCAGGTCATTACATTGCATACCTTAAATACATATAATTTTGTCAATTAAACCTCATTAAACCTAAAAAAAGTTAACTCAAATGAGAGAACTATCTAAAGCATATGTATAACAGGATAAGACTGCCTGACTTAAGAGTCAAGAAATACAGACATCACAAGAGTCTCACTATCTAGGAGTATGACAGAGTCCAGGTACCACCTTTTTGTCAGTCTCCTCTTGTATTGTTTGACCTTTGCAAATTCTAAAGAAAGCAATTATAGGCTTTTTTTAGAGTTTGAAGGAAGAATAAAGGGCTATAAGGGGCCCATAAGCATAAGCTCTTAATAAGGCAGAAGGACATGAATATAAGGGTCAAGAGACTGGGGTGTGAAAGAAGCTGGTCCCCAGAGGCAGGTTAGAAACAGTCTGCATCAATAGAATTGAGAGTCATCCCACTGTGAGACTTCTTTAAACTCACTCCTCCTTTCTCCACCAGCTTTGATTAGGCTATCCTTTCCCCCTTTTCATTAACTAAGTAAAAATTCACACTGTTGGTACATGTTAATTGTCTGGTCCTCCAGCTGGGTAACCTCTTCAACAAGAATCAGGAAGCTGTGTATTTGTGCAACCTTGTATACCCATCACGTGCTGGCCTGCTACTGTGCCAGTCATTACATATTTGCCGAATGAATGCATGCGGCAAGCTTGGCATTTTTGGACTAGAAGCAGAGACCAATAAGAAAGGTGCCCACAGCAAGAAGAATTCCTGGCCTGTGGAAGATGTGTGTGATGGAGGTACAATATCCTATTGGTAATGGGACAACTACTATAGACTTGAAGGTAAAAGTCTTCCTGAGATATGGTCTGCTGAGAGGCTGTGCAGACAGGATGGAGAGAGAATATCTCACAATATGATATATCATGGGGGGAAAGGTATGGTTCTTCTTTTTTTTTTTTTCATTTATTTTTATTAGTTGGAGGCTAATTACTTTACAATATTGTAGTGGTTTTTGCCATACATTGACATGAATCAGCCATGGATTTACATGTGTTCCCCATCCCGATCCCCCCTCCCAAAGGTCTGGTTCTATACCTTCCTTTAAAAAGTCAAGTTCACAAGCACTATCTGGAGAGATCAGGTTTAAGCTCAATATCACAAGGAAAGGGGAAAAAGACAGACTGAGATCTTGGTAAACAACAAGCTCAAGATGAGCAACAGACAGGGGACTTCCCTGGTGGTCGACTGGTTAAGACTCTGCACTCCCAATGCAGGGGGCACAGCTTTGATCCCAGGGCAGGGCTAACTAAGATCCCACATGCTACAAGGGGTGGCCAAAAAGAAAAAAAATGAGTGACAGGAAGTGATCACCAGAATTCTTACGTTGAGGTAGACTGCGCTGGTGGGTTCTGCAGTCTCCAGTGATGAAGGTGACAGACGTGAGTTACCTGAGTGGCTCTGGGCTGCCAGACCGTAGCATGACTTTCCTTTCTGAGCGCTACACTTGTACAGAGTTAAACTTGAACCTCGTCAGAAGAGAGGCTCCCAGGATGACAAAGATGTTCAAAAGTAAGTCATGTGAGGAACAGTGAAAGGAACCGGGGCTATTTTGCTCAGAGAAGAAGTTCAAAAGAGGCACGAGGGCTGTCTTTGAGCAGCTGAGGGGCTGTCAGTTGGAGGAGGCTTTAGTTCGGAATGACCTTGAGGGCAGAACTGGAACTAACAGGCCGAAGCTACATGCTGACACATTTCAGCTTGATACAAGTGAGAAGGCAAGCCGCCAGATCTTGGGACCGGGAGCTGGCGGAGCTGCCTCAGCAGTTAGGGAGCAGCCTGTGCCTGCAGGCACGGCAGCCCACGTCGTGCGAGGGCGGGCAGCCAGGCTGCATAGGCCATCAAGGGTTGCGCTGCAGGTCAGACCAGCCGACTTCAGATTCGCTCCCAACATCCAAATCCTGTGGTTTCAGCTTCCATGTTCCTCATGAGAAAAACTTGAAATGAGTTATGTAAAAGTGCTTTATGAACTCTAAAGTGTTTTACAAATACAAGGTATTATTACTAATTTTTCATCATCTTGTAAGATGTCAGTTCTACCCCAACTGCCATTTTCTCTACATCTCTGTTCTCTCTCTTCAAACCCATAATGATTTTTAATTTATAAATGCCAAATTTCTTATTATGATGACTGCTATTCCCCATCTAGGATTTCAAATTTTCAAAACCCCTCATAAATAATAAATGGTTCTTCATCTTTTATAAATGAGGGAAAGGCCTTACATTCCACGTGCTAAACCTGGGCCTGATCTTAGTGTGTATAAGTACAGAGTAGCTAAGTTCTCACACATCACTTAGGCGCAGAACTCCTTATAATCAATAGCTCACTGAAATTTGTGCAACAAAAAGTTTCCACATTAGTAAACAAACAATAAACAAACATATTAATAAATTATCTTCAGTCTACATTGACAGAATTTGAGTTGGGCCCTTTATCCAGAGTGCCCTCTGGGGTCTCATGAACTCACCAGCAATAATAATATCTGTTATTTGGTGGCATAGCTAATTTTTCACAAGGTATTTGGACTTGGAAAAATTACTTGCCAGATAAATGAAAGTCCCAGTCCTCTTTTGGGTCTTCAAAATATTTTCTCCACCAAACTCCAATATCATCTCTAACAAGTAATGACTTGACAACTTTGAAATATCATTTCTTTTCCTTCTTCTACACCCTTTAAAGGATTTAATAGAAAGTGACATAGGCAGAAGTGCGCTGAGAGAAAAAAAACTAGAACCAGGAAGAAAGCAAACTGGATACAGATTCTCCTCAAAAGTAGTTACCTAATTTACAAAGCAACTCTCTCATCCACACATGTGTTCTCCAAACCATTTATCTATTTGATTCTTTGACTTAAACCTAGAGCAGAAAAGGGATTCGGAGGCTGGAATTTATACAGGGCATTAGAGAGACGGTAAGGCAGTCCATGGAGTCACAAAGAGGCAGACAGAACTGAATGCTTAGCACAAGACACACACAAAACTTGGCTGAGAATAAATACAGAGAGTTTTTGACTCACTTCTCTTTGGATGCTAAGTATCATTGAGAAGGAAACAGATTTTTAAAAGAAGCCTTTAGGGACTTCCCTGGTGGTCCGGTGGCTAAGGCTCTGCACTCCCAATGCAAATAGCAAGGGTTCAACCCCTGGTGAGTTAACTAGATCCCACATGCCGCAACTACAGATTGTATGTGCCATAATTAAGACCCGGCACAGCCAAATAAATAAACAAATATTTAAAAAATAAATAAAATAAGTGTTTATATTCTGTCTTCTGTCTAACACGTTTGGCTACTTATATTCTGTTACTGAGGTTTAACTTTTCATACAGGTTACACTTCATCACATGAAGATGAGATTTGTGAAGAAAAACTACTAAATACTTTTGCATACTATGATTAGGGCTTCCCTTGTGGCTCAGCTGGTAAAGAGTCTGCCTGCAATACAGGAGACCTGGGTTCGACCCCTGGGTTGGGAAGATTCCCCTTGAGAAGGAAATGGCAACCCACTCCAGTATTCTGGCCTGGAGAATTCCGTGGACTGTATAGTCCATGGGGTTGCAAAGAGTCAGACACGACTAAGCAACTTTCACTTTTCATACTATGATTAACAGTAGAGAAAACTCTAAGGATGAGTATTGGCGGAAACCCCTGCAAGTAGCTATGAAAAGTCAGGCAGAGGCAGGAATAAATGGGGTCAGGAATCTTTGGCTCATCTCCTTGCATGCCTCCAGCCTTTCCTATTCCATCTTTGTGCAGAGACTGCTGAAAAAGCAAGACAATGCAGCTGGTCTTCACTGACCCAACATATCGTGTGGTTTGCCTCATATTAATCTATGCTTGAGGAACAAGCTCTGGATTGAACACTTGGATAACAGTAGATCTAATGGGGGTCTCCTAGTGTTGAATAGATGTTCATAACCTTTTAGCATTAAAGAGGAGGAAATTCAAGGCCACCATATTCAGTGTGTTTGCTATGTTTGCATTCATGTAGACACAAGTAAAATATTCTTTTCATGGAGCAGAAGGTGGATCTTTGAGAAACACGAGCTTCACCAATGATAAATCTCTGGTTCCTCACAGCTAGGACATACCTTGATTCCCATAGCTGCTTTCTATTCCAGAGCCATCCCATGAGTCCACAGCACTGTCCACACTGGGCACGGTGGAGGGGTATGTGTCGCTGAGTTTGCTTGGCTTCTGTGCTGGAGATGGGTCCTCCACATCTCCCAGATCACTCAAGTGGCTGGCAACGGGAAATTTCTTGGGACTTGATGCTGACTGGGCTTTAAGGAAAAGAGCTTAAGTATCAGAGTAAATATAAATACAAAGATACGCCAACACACCCTGGCTGAAGAGTCGTTTCCCCAGAAATACACATGTAGATATTTGCACATTCTTTTGGGGAAGGAAATCCACTAGAAATCCTTAATTGTGGCTCTTGATCCACTCACCATCTGTCTGCTTCTTAATTTTCAGGGTGACAGTCTCTCCTGCCATCTGTAACAAATGGATGGCTTCACTCAGAGGCTTCCCTTTTAAGCTGCTGCTGTTGATGGCCAGGATTCGGTCTCCTATGTGGATCGCACCAGTTCTGAAACACCAAATAATAACAGGAAAGGTAGAAATAAACCCTGAATGCTACTGAATGTAAATTCCCTGACATACTTCATATGTTCACAACAATAAAGACTTGGCAAGGGTCTCTTGAAGTCACTCCTTGCCTTCTCCCGGGCAATGTTATAAGATGACTACTTCCGTTGTGAATTACTTTTCAGTTTCAAATAAAATTTTTAAAAAAGTTTTAATTAGTTTTTTTAAAAGGACTTGTGTGCTTTTTAAATTCCAAGAAAGTGGAGTCATTTGATAACACTCTTCAAAACCCCAAGGAAACAAACAATATTGGTCAATCAACATAGTGATGTTTAGTATGGGAGCAGTCCTTCTTTCTACAGACTTAGAAATGTTGAACACAATCAGTGTCCCAGCTTACTGGAAGCAAGGCTTAGACAAAAGGCCCTGGTGGTGATTCCAAGGATTGAAAAGGTTGAACTCAGGAATCAATAGATTTTTTTCTTTTTGTGGCCAAGTCACGTGGCTTGTAGGATCTTAAGATCCCAGTTCGCAGGGATCAAAACTGTGACCCTGGTAGTGGAAGTGCAGAATCCTAACCACTGAACTCCCAGAGAAGTCCCAGGAATCAATTTGTTTGATGCCAACTCTATCACGTACCAGCTGTGTGACTTGGGTAATTTATTTTCACCTGTCTAGGTGTCAGTTTCCTCATCACTACAGTGGAGGAAACCACCTCACAGGGAAGCTCTGAGGACTAAATAGGAAAACACATGTAAAGGGATTAACATTCTGCTTGAAATGGAAAAGGAAAATTAATTTACTGATCAATAAAGAAACCTTCAGTGTTTTCCCTTCTCTTCCCATCCTCACCCAATTCTGAACTAGCAGACTGGAAGTTATAATTCTGATGTTCACCATATCTATCTTTGTTTGGAAGCACAGGTGGGGAAGGAACAGACTCACAGCAGGCAAACTCAGGAAAGGTTTAATTTTATTTTTTGGCCACCATGCGGCATGTGGGACCTTAGTTCCCCAGTCAGGGATCAAACCCACGTCCCTTGCAGTTGGAGCTCGAAGTCTTAACCCCTGGACTACCAGGGAAGTCCCCCCAACCCAGGAAAGGTTTAAACTTTCAGATCTCTTGACCTGGGCTGAAGGATATAGAGTGGGAATCCCATGTGCTAGCCTCTGGGGTGCTGGTTCACTTTAAACACATGAGTGAAGGAAGCCAACTCACAGGCCGCTCGTGCCTGAGTGACCTGACCCCAGCCTGCTCTGGGGGTGGTGGGCATCACTAGAGGCGACATTGGGTCACACAGATTATAAGAATCTACTTGCGAGAAATATTTTTTTCCGGAAAAAAAAAAATCAATTCATTCTTTCATAAGGAGTCTCCAGGGAGTTCCCTGGCAGTCTAATGGGAGGACTCATGCTTTCACTGCTGTGGCCTGGGTTCAATCCCTGGTTGGGGAACTAAGATCTGACCAAAAAAAAAAAATCTCCAGTTTATGGAAGAGCCATACTGTGAGCCATAGAACACTTGACTAGGAGGTTGCCGAATCAGATCAATATTAATCTTTCCCTCTTGTCTCTCTTAACAGATGAAACCTAGCACAAGGGGATGGCTAGAGGATACCATGTCATAGGTGTCTGTCAGCATGAGAATAAAAAATTTCAACAGACCACCCTTTTGGAGCGGCTTCAGTGCCCTCGCCTACCAGATGAGGATGCTGGATGAGCCGATTCTAAGGTGCCTTGCAGCTCCAAAATTCTGTGATGCTACATCTCTATTTTGCAAACCACTGTCTTCCAGTGTCAGCATGAGCAATGTATGTGCATACCTGAGCTAGGTTGCTGGAGGATAGGTCTGGTTATGGGGTTTGAAGTATGTCCCACAACATTGTCTTGGAAAGAAATCAGTGTGAGAGGTGGTGGTGGGACGCATGCAAACAGAAACAAATTGCCAAAGGGACAAATGGGCATTCCAAATTTCAAGATGTTATTAAGTCCCTACACTGTTGTCTGAAATCTTTGAAGATGAAGCTTATGTCAGTCATTCTCTCAGCGGCTAAGCCACGTAACAGAGGCTCTAAAACATTTGCTGAATTGAATCAGACAAGCCTTTTAACCTCCTTGAACTTTAGTCTCCTCCTCTCAAAATGGACACAAGATAAATTTACCTCTAGTCGACTGTGGTCAGTTTATACGTTTCTGGAGAATAATATCAAGGTTAAGCCCAGGACACTTTTTACTGCTTATAAGATGCCCTTCAAGTCAGAGCTCTGCCTGAGAGTTCTCAAGCTCTAAAATCAATCCTTTGTGCGATTTGAAAAAGTCAACAGATAAACAACCAGGAGAGGGAAGCATGTTTTTATGCAGCTGTGGGGAAGGAAACCCATTTCAGACACAGGTAATTGTAGCAGTGGATTCAAATGGTACCTTTCAGCTAATCCCCCTTTAGTGAGGCTTGAAATGATTATAGGATCAAACGGCTCTTCAGTTCCTGAAATTGTGATGCCAAGAGGCCCCCCATAGCGCTTCAGCTCCACAGTGTAAATAATTGCTCCGGAACTTTCTTGTTCATCTGCAATAAATGCCAATGAATCATAATTGGTTTTTTTGGAAGAAGCAGAGTAAAAAGGCACATATCTTCATACATGAAATAAGAAACTCAAAACATCATCATCAAAGCATTATGTCTCAGAAAATAATTATTTTGGGAAGTGGCATTTCCTTAGTTGGCTGTAACATTCTAATATAGGGATGTTGCTGTCATCAACGGTCAAGAAAGGGGTTCTCTGCCTAATGACTTATGTTTTAAACCTGTGAGAGAGCTACCCAGCCGGCACTGCAGTCCTTTTAATATGGTGGTCCTGCCCTGCATAGTGCTTGCCTAGTGTTTTGTGAGGGTGTCATAAATATCTGGGGACTGAAGATATAGCTAAGGAGCCAATATGGGTGGAGAGACTCATGCAGTAAACAAAGAGATTGGGCCATGCAATTCCTGTTTTCAGGCTTTACAAGCAAGCTAACTCTCAATAGAGAAAAGTTGATTTTACTCATGGTTAGAGCAAACTTTAATATATGCATGGTTAAGTGGGGCTTGAGAATCTGCAGCCCCTTATCTATCGTTTCATTAACTGTGTCTTAAAATATGAATCTTATTCACAAATACACAGATATTCAAACAGAGGGTTTTAAAAAAATTGTTTGTTGTAGCTGATTTACAATGTTCTGTTCATCTCAGTTGTACAGTAGTGATTCAGTTAAACATATATCCACTCTTTTTTAGATTCTTTTCCCAAAACACAGGGTTGAATGATTTTTCTCCTCTCTGTTCTTGAGACTAGGAGTCATGTAAATGACATTTCAGTAGCATATACCATGTTGCCACACTGCAGTGACCTAATTTTTACCATCTAATGTTGGTATGAAGGAAAATATTTGTGAGTATGGTCTGCTTAAAGCCTTGGCTTGAAAGATATCATGGGACACCTTCAACATGGTCGGGTGTTTTGACCGTGTCAAGATTGCAAATATGAAGTCTCAAAATTCAGAGGGTTTTATTTGCTGATGACATGCTGAAACAAGACATTCTGAGTATTTCTTGTTTTATTCCTTGGGCCTGGAAGCTGTGAATGGTTAAGGAGTTGTTCATTGCTGTACCAAAGGATACAGTGAAATGGTTCAGTAGATACTATAACAAAATAGTCAGCTTTTATAGTCAGGCTGTATCCCAGTGAAGCATTAACACAGTCATATTTCTGCAATGAGCAGCTGTTCATTTATGATATGAGGCCCTAAAATAGGAGGAATAGAAAAGCTTGAATTAACAATTCAATTATCTGTGTGTGCAGTGAAGAGTTACAATGAATATAAAATAGAAAGGTCTGTAGAGAAATGTAGGAAGTGATGTGTATTCTCCAGCCAGCACTTTCTTCACTTCTGCCCACAACTTAGGAGTTTGGGGATGTACCCATCACTTCTACTTCCTCACTGCTCCATCTACTCAGAAGAAGCTGTACACATAGAGAATAAAAACCATCTCCCATACTGCAATGCTTAAATCAACATCTAGGGTATAAACATCTTCAACATTAGACTCAGATTTATACTGGCAGCTGAGAATCCTCCACATCAAGCCTTCAACAGCTCTATCTGGTGGTTTACATACTTCTTCCAGGGTTCTATTTTTACTTGTGGTCAATAGGCTGGTGATGGCCTGCCAAGCAGCTGCTGAGAGAAGCACCAGGATACAGAGTAACCAAAAACGGAGGCAGGGTCACAAGTCTAACTTCTTCTACTCTGTGACATATCATTACCCATCAGAGCAGGGTTTTACATAAACGATTAGGGTATTACTGGAAGAGCACATGTACTGTGCAGTCTCTGCCAACAATTATATTCTGCATATAATTCTAGGGGAGTCCTTTGATTAGTAAACCTTGGTACAGTAAATGTTAGTTACCGAGGGGGCACTCTGATGTGCCTGCAAGTGGGAAGACCTGGCCGTTTAACTGCCCTTCTTCCCTATAGGGCAAGCATGAGCACTGGCATGTCAGCGGGCACCAGGCATTCTGGATCTGGCCATCAGCTCTTTACGGGAGTTGTGGGAAATGCCAGTCACCAAGTACATGGAGCTCAGATGCCCAGAGCCCAGAAATCTGTGGGATGTTTCCGTTGAAACTTCCATCCAGATGAAAACAACCACTGGCCTGTAGGAAGCTGAGCTGGGGTGCAGTCCCACTCACTAGGAGAGTGGAGAGAAACTGACTCCAGTTAACTGGTTCTTCAGGGAACCCAGTTCTCTGAACCCAGGTAACAGTGAGTGCCCTGTGTTATTTCTGGACAGGTTTGCAACTTGTATCACTAAGATGACAAAGTAACACAAAGAAAGGAGTAAATGTGTTTAGGACACTTTTAATCAAGCAGCTGAAGTGCTTCAATAACAAAAGCACTTATTAGGGTACTCAACGAGTTTAAATAATGATGCGATGCAAGTCAAGAAACTGGCAGAATATTAATGAAGATGTGATGCTGTATTTAGACCATGTCAAGAATGTAGCTGATTTCTGACTTATTCAACAAATAAACTCTTGGAAACAAAAACTTGAAAGGAAAGATTTAGAAACATTACAACCAAAAGCAAGGAATACATCTTTTTGGATTCTAATTTAGAGCGACTACTTTTAGAAAAACTTATCTATCCATGTATATGAAAATCAGGGAGGCAGGAACTTGAGTAAAGACTGGTTCCAAATCGGGAAAGGAGTATGTCAAGGCTGTATATTGTCATCCTGCTCATTTAACTTATATGCAGAGTACACCATGCGAAATGCTGGGCTGGATGAAGCACAAGCTGGAATCAAGATAGCCGGGAGAAATATCAATAACCTCAGATATGCAGATGACACCACACTCACAGCAGAAAGTGAAGAAGAACTCAAGAGCCTTTTGATGAAGCCTCTTGATGAAGGTGAAAGAAAAGAGCAAAAAAGTTGGCTTAAAACCCAGCATTAAAAAAACTAAGATCATGGCATCCGGTCCCATCACTTCATGGGAAATAGATGGGGAAACAATGGAAATAGTGACAGACTTTTATTTTGGGGGGCTCCAAAATCACTGCAGATGGTGACTGTAGCCATGAAATTCAAAGACGCTTGCTCATTGGAAGAAAAGCTATGATCAACCTAGACAGCATATTAAACAGCAGAGACATTACTTTGACAACAAAGGTCCGGCTAGTCAAATCTGTGGTTTTTCCAGTAGTCATGTACGGATGTGAGCGTTGGACTATAAAGAAAGCTGAGCGCCAAAGAATTGATGCTTTTGAACTGTGGTGTTGGAGAAGATTCTTGAGAGTCCCTTGGACTGCAAGGAGATCCAACCAGTCCATCCTAAAGGAGATCAGTCCTGGGTGTTCATTGGAAACACTGATTCTGAAGCTGAAACTCCAATACTTTGGCCACCTGATGTGAAGAACTGACTCATTGGAAAAGACCTCGATGCTGGGAAAGATTGAAGGTGGGAGGAGAAGGGGACAATAGAGGATGAGATGGTTGGATGGCATCACTGATGCAATGGATGTGAGTTTGAGTAAGTTCTGGGAGTTGGTGATGGACAGGATGGCCTGGCGTGCTCCAGTCCATGGGGTCACAAAGAGTCGGACATGACTGAGTGACTGAACTGAACTGAAGAATTATTGCTATTGCAATATTTAGTTATGAATTTTAGAAGTCTTTTATAAGTATTGTTTATGGATGCATTAATAATATTTGCAACATGCAATGATATGATGTCTAAAATTTCTTAAAAATAATTCAGTGTGTGGGTGGGATGGGGAAATTTAGGGTGGGAGTAGTTCTAAAGCAAGACTGATTCTAAGTTAATAGCTATTAATGCTAGGTGATATAGGATGGTTCATTACAGTCTTTATCTTTTAAATATATTTTCATGTTAATTTTAATTTATTTTTTTAAATTTTTATTTTATATTGAATTATAGCTGATTAACAATGTTGTGATAGTTTCAGATGGACAACAAATTGGACTGAGCCATACATATACATGTATCCATTCTCCCTGAAACTCCCCTCCCATCCAGGCCCATCCAATTAAGGTTTTGGTGGCACAACAGTGAAGAATCTGCCTGCCAATGTAGGAGACACTGGTTCGATCCCTGGGTCAGGAAGACCTGGAGAAGGAAATGACAATCCACTCCAGTATTCTTGCCTGGAAAATCCCATGGACTGAGGAACCTGGTAGGCTACAGTCCCTAGGGTCACAAAGAGTCAGACACAACCTAGTGAGTAAATAACAACAACAACGACAACAACCAGATCCTATGACCTGCCTGCCCACCAAGCAGGGTGCCACGGGCTCTTGAGGACTCAGCTCTGCCCCGTTGCTATAGCAACGGTTTCTACCTAAATTGTTTTCCTACTTAAGATCCAGTCTTTGTCCTTGTCTGCTACATCTATTTTCACCAGCCCTACCAACACTGAATTCTTTCTTTTTCCTTCCCAGAGTATTCTGAAAGCAATAAATCTGAATATGTGGCTTTCTTCCTTACAGCCTTCCATTAGCTCCCCGATTACTGAAGAATACAATGCAACCTTGGCACCAACAGGGCTAAAGCCTCTATGTCTTCTGCCATCCTCTCCCATTCCAACCAAATCTAATTCTCTCCCCAGTGGTCCCTTCGAAAAGCACCTGTCTTGCAGGTTTAACCTTCCACAGGTTACTCCCTGGGCACAAACATCTTCCTTCCTCTGGAGAATTTTATTCTCACTTTATTTTTTGAGGCTTTTTATTTTGTATTGGGGTATAGCTGATTAACAATGTTGTGACAGTTTCAGGTGAACAACAAAGAGACTCAACCATACACATACATGTATCTATTCTCCCCCAAATTTCCCTCCCACCCAAGCCGCCACAAACATTGAACAGAGTTCCGTGTGCTATGCAGTAGGTCCTTGTTGGCTATCCATTTTAAACCTAGCAGTGTGTACACGTCCATTCCAAACTCCCCAGTTATCCCTTCCTCCCATCCCTCCCCCAGCAACCATAAGTTAGTTCTCTAAGT